GCTTTCATGGGAGCTATGGAAGCGGGGACTCTCAATAATGAGAACCTTCAGAACAGGGGAAAGATTTTAGTGAATGTGTGTTCTGCAAGGGAGCAGCAGAGACTCCAGATCATTTACAATTATGGTGCTCCTCTTACCAATTCTAGTACATCGCCTTTTACTTCCTAAATTTGAATTGGGTTGTTACTGGGTCTAAGGATGAGCTTTGGGCTTCGCAGGATATCTGCAGTGAAAAGAAAAGAAGAAATAATCTCCTCTATACCGTTGACTACCTTTTGGTTATCTGGAAGGAAAGGAACACAGAATTCTTGAGGGGGTTATTTTTCTTTTGTTAGAGTTAAAGACTCTAGGTTTAAAGACACTGTGTTTTCTGCCCAAGGATCAGTCTCTTCACACAACTGAGGATTTAGAAAACCTTGTTGAATATTTGACTGAGTAATAGATTCGGTCTTTTCTACATGGGTATGCCACTAGTGCCAATTTATGTTCCTCTTTCTCCTTGAAAGAAAAAAAAAAGGCCAGCTATCATCCAAAACTAGAAATGACTCGGGGAACATATGAAGGAACTGCAAGGCAAATTGCCAAAGAATCTACTTAAGTACCCAAGAAGGTAAGAAACATATTTATATGACATTCAAACCTAAATGAGCCCGCAACTCAAAATCTAAAGTAAAAAAGAAAAATGAGATATAAAACATGAAGAACAGGCTTCAAAGTATAGAAAGCATGCAATTTAGTGTATCAGATCACAGGTTGTGATGCAGTCGTGGATCAAAAAAGTTTCTTCTCTGACTAATCCTAATATCAGAAACATTAAATATTTCCTGCCAAATAAAAGAAATTGAATTTTGTGATAAATAAGGAAAAGAATATTTAAATTGTCTGAAACCCAAAATGGAAAACTGCAGAAAACAAGAGGAGAACAATTACCTACGACTATAAATCTGATGAAGAGAAGACATCAACCAACTGTGGTTCTTTTCTTCGTTCCTCAATTCTGAAGTGCCCTCTGATTCATCCCTTGAAGCACTATTTTCACTGTTATCAACTATAAAATTTATTCTCCTAGTTGTTACCTGCAGAGATTGTCTTCTGTACTCAGAGATACATGTTATTGATTAAATCCAAAGAAACAAGATCCACCAAAGGTGTTAAAAGTATCACTTCACAGTTTCAATATGAAACAAATAGGCATCAGCTTAGTTTATGAAATCCTTAGAATATATCACAAAACTTACTTGGAAGGTTCCTCGTACAACCCTCAACGGTCGAACCATAGATGAAGGAAGCTCAAAAACTATCCTTTCATCAAGTTCACTGGGAACATATCCAGGTGCAACTGCTGATGAATTTTGGACCAAATCTTGGTCACTGGCAAGTTGCGCATCACCAGATTCTGTTGATGGCTGTACGACTTGCCCCGTTACATCAGAAGACCTTCGCTGACTCCCTTCAATCTGGTCAACGTCATAGGCTTTGCCATCTAAAGGATCGTTTTCACTCTGTTCATCCTCTTCATTCATTAGTTCCATTGAGATTGCTTCTGCAGTCAGAATGGGAGCATTTGATGGACTTATCTCATTTTCTTTATCCTTTTTATCTCCAATTTGCTCGTCATAATTGGCAGCAGCTCCTGAATGATCACTCCCAGTGTAGTTCCTCCTCAAACACCACCTCATCCTTGATGAACTTTCCATGAAGTCCAGCTTCCAGAAAATCTACATCCAATAGGATATAAAAAATAAAATTTTGAAAATGAAACTAATTCCTTGAGGAAATCATTCTCTCACAACATACATGTTCTGGACTGCATAAATGATTTCCAAATGGCCCAAAAAGACATTGCATCTCTATCAAGTAATGAATGAGTTTGCGCCAGGCACGGATCCCAGTACACAAACGATGTCGTGTGATTACATCAACATGAGCACGCCTATCAACCTGAAGAGAAAATAAATAAGTAAATAAATAAATATATACTAACTAATTAAGATGATAATCACGGTAGCAAGCAGTAACCAAAACCTCTGATCGTTGCACATTTCTTGCTAAGGCAAAACTTGCAACAAGGACAGCAATAAATTTATATGATAAAGCATTAAAATCTTTTCCGTATACTGATCTCGTATCAACTGGTTGAAGACATTCCATCCAAGCAACGCCCATGGCTTCAGAAGCATTCCACCTCTTTACACGCTCCATATCACTAGCATTCCTCCGCTGGGCAGATGTGGCCATTGCAACAGCACTGAGACCTCTTCCAGATCCAATTTTTGCATTCCGCTCAAGGTCTCGTGCAGCTGCCAAGGCAGCAGCTTTAGCAGCAGCTTTGTCTTTTGGGAGGGAAGGGGTTTTGTTCGGCACTTCCAGAGGCTTCTGGAAGCTTGAAAAAGTATGCAGCCTAGTTGTTTTCCGTTCAAGCAACGAGGAGTCACGCCTGAGTTGAACAGTTGTTGGAGGTGCTGGCGCCTCCCAACCAGCTGCACCAGCAGCAATCATTGCCAGTGCCATTGCTGCAGGTGGTGATGCAAAAGCAGCAGCCCAATCAGGTGATATCATAGCCAGAGCACCCTGAAAGGAAAAGATTCAGACAGCTGTTATGGGTCAATTATTTGGGCCATTCAGCTTGAGCAGAGAAGAAAGACAGTGGACAGCTTTATGCTTTAGCTTGTTAGTTAATTGTCATATATACTGTTCGTTATTATCTAATGTTATTAGCTGTCATGTGTCTTTATTAGAGCGGTAGGGAGTAGTTAGGTGTGTTAGAAGAGTCTATTGTAAGGAACGGAAGTTATCTTCCTAGAGGACAGTTACTGAACTGTAGGAAGCAGTTGTAATCTTTGATACAAACAAACCAGATTGAGTGGAATAAAACTATCAGATTTCCGACAACAAAGTTTGCTTTTTTTATGAGTTTTTAAGGGTTTTCTCTAATGTGCCCTTAAAACGAAATTCAACATAGGTATAAGAAGCAAAACCAAAAGCATGTTACGCTTCACACTTTGCCCTAGAGGGTCCCATTACGGGATCAAAATTTCAAGGAACTTACTAACAACTCGGAAAATTAGACAATAACACAACATATACCCACTCCCTCAAACAATAAAAAACCTGAGACGGGAAAAAATCTTAATGTTTCGATATGAAATGTAATGTCGGAAATTAGAAACGCCGTGCATGTAAAGAGATACAGGTAAAATATTGCAGGCATCAATTATTAAAAGATTAGGTGATATTCTGTTACCTCCAAAGGAAGCGCATCAGCAGCCAAGGCACGATCGTCAACCTTAAGAGGATTCAAACCATCAGCAGTGGCAAGTTCATGAATTCCTGCCAAAATTGGGCGCCACCTCCTCAAAACAGCAACAAATGGTGGCATAATAGCCTCAAGATACTGCTTACGAAGTGGCTTTCTATCCCTGCCAACAGCATGCCATATCTGCCAATAAAAATGTCATAACTAGAACAATTATCAAAAAGTGAGACAACCACAAAAATAGGATGCTGCATAAAACAGGTGGAAGGGAAGCAACATTAGAACTTTAAATTATAAGATAAGGAAAAGTGTGCATGGGAAAAGATAAGATCTAAGCGTAGAAAAAACTTCAACATTGAGATAAGTTGATTTGATGCAGAACTAACCTCGGAATAAAGGACACATGTTGCAACCAACACTCTCTGTCTCTTGGAATCAGAAATTGGCATGTTTAGAACAGGTGAAAAAACACTGTACATTAACAAAATGATTTAATTTTCCACTTATATAAATGAATCATGGAAGTAGAACATGCTGTTCAGAAACAAAGAGCTCAAGACCATTAGAAGAAACAACGGTAGAGCCTTTAAATCATAGAATCACAACAGATCTGAGAGGGTTAGAGACGGATAAACAAGACCAAAGCAAAAGCCACAAGGAGGCAGGCTAGGACCTATAAAACTACTTTCAAATCACATGTAATTCTTGCAGAGTAACACGAGAAGAGACAAAGACCGTTACCATGTAGGATGGAAACTCAATCCAACAACTCAACTAAATTCCACAACAGTGCAATGAACTATAGTTATTTAATAAAAAAGTGCAATGATCTATAGAGAATCTGCTTATCTGTCAAAGCCAACAGAGAAAAAGTAAAGGCACCAATTAATTACCTCCACAGTAGTGCTGACCGTGATTGTCTCATTGACATTCGAGAACTGTGATCTAAGGATATAGAATGCCCTGCTTGTCGATCCAATGGATCAGACAACCCATCATCTAAGCTCAAGTTCCTCATAAGGATGCTTTCTTCACCAGAGTCTTCTTCCCTCATCGAAAGAAGCACCATTCTTAGCATGCATAAGAAAGGTTGGTCACTATCCAATAATTGGTAGAGTGCTGCCATTCCTCCCATCCCAGTACCTGATCCTCCACCTATACCAAGACCACCACCAAGTCCTGACTCATCTAGTAGAAGAGCTTGAAGCATGGAAACAGACTTTTTTACCAAGGGAAGTTCAATCCAGTTCCCATTTGCATCTTTTTCCAGAGCTGATCTCCAGGAGTCCCAGCCACTGCCACCACCGCCAAAGCTAGTTGTTTTCGAATTAGCACCAACACCATACCATAATCGACTCCTGTACTTCCAGCCTTCAGCCAAATCCATAGCACAGCTACCATATGACACAAAAGCACAAGAAACAGATTCATATGGCTCAGCTGCAGCTGCAGCAGTAAGTCGTTCCATCACTGTTGCAGAAATTTGCCCGTTAGAATCAGCCATTGAAGCAAGTACCTGAAAAGAACCTTAGTAGAGTAAGTGCCATGTAGGCAGAAAATTGGCCACTCTTTTAAAGTAGAGAAGGACAATTAGAATGAGAACCTATTCAGGTAAAGCAACAGAGATAACATAAAGTTAACACATAAAGAAAGATTCTAAAGATCTGCTGTTAACAGTTAAAGGAAGCCAGGATCGGCTTACAAGCACCGTATAAATACAGAGAACGAAGAGGAGAAACGAATTTTATGATACCACACAGAACTGCACCACTAAACTTGTAAATGCAAATATGCCTGTACCACTAGATAGTAGGTTGTGTTTGAGTTAACCATAAACATACATCAATAGGCAGTCCCCCAGCTTCACTAGATAATGATCCCCGGCTGCTTGAAATTTCAACTGTTTCCCCAATCGTTGTCAATGAGTTGGAACGGTTATTCAATGGAGAAACAAGAGAAAGAGGGGATGGAGAAGCATCAACAACACGTGATGCACAAGATTGTTTGCTCTGTAACCGTAGATGATCTTCGACAAGCATTAAAATGACAATGGCATTCTCTACCAAAAACACAGAGAGCTGAGCAGCATTTTCTGCTTCTGCCTTGGCCTCTTTCGGTGCAAGACCCTCTGCTGCAACACCAGCAGCAGCTGCAGCAATAACTTGAGTCTGCTCAAAAAATATCCTTGATGTAAGTATAATTGCAATTTTTCTCCATTATTCAACAAGAGGAGGGTGATTAGAACCCGAAAACAGAGTATTGTTTTTTACTTTATCGAGAACGAAGTTTAGACATAAATAGCAAGACTGGAATGAATACGTTATAAATTCAGTCTGGAAAGCAATATGTGCGTTCAGAGAAGACACATCAAGAACTAATGCAAATACATAACCAACAACAAAACATTCACATTTTCTTTGATGGAGTTTGTTCATTAGTAAACAAACTATAAACATAATCTCATTTTCACAGAAGGTATACATAAAAGACAACAGCATCATGGCAAGTGTGGTATTCCTTCCATCTTAAATGATATTTGTTCTAAAGAAGACTGCAGCGACAAGAATCAAGAGATACCTGAGCCTGCAGTTCTCTGGCAGCAAAGTCTAGCAACCCACCCAAAAGCCTTCTTTTAAATATTGGTAAAGATTCTTCACGCCTTTAAAAGACAAAAATAAAAGGCTAAACAAAATGGCAATCAATAATCCATAAATCATGTTTAATTGAAAAGCACCATTAAATTTTAGCCAGCACAACATTTTAATTGGCAGTTTTTAAGAATTAATATAATTTATACAAAGAAGTTCTCCTTATTTTCCTGGTTCCAATACCAGAGAGTCAAGCCTTGCTTAATTATATACTACAGCACTTTTTTCCTCTCAAACATCTCTCCTTCCACTGAGTCAGTTGAAAATCAATGACTGTCTAATACCAAAAACCAAAAAAACAAACAAGGAAATAGTTAGTAATGTATATTAGAAATACCTAATCCTGTGCTCTCCAGTGCTACAGCCACCAACAATAGAAAGCCATTCTGCACAATGAATTGTAGCTTCAATATCCTGTAAAAGGGAAATGATGACAGAACTATAAAAATGAAACTGATATACCTATAACTTAAAAGATATATATCCGATTAAGATATATGCAGGGAGATTATTGAACTTTGCATGTGAAGGTGGAATTTCCCAGTGAACTGATGTAATTAGTTTGCCTAGTTTCAAATAGCACACTTTCCTACTTCTCACATCATCTTAAAAGTTTAAAGAAATATAATAAAAACTCGACATTATACAGATCTAATACCTATTTAACAAAGAAAGATTTATCAGATGGGAAATGCAGTAATTTTACAGCAGAAAACAAGGTTAACTAAAAGGAAAGTGTTTGGCAAAGATGGTATGTTCCGTGCATTGTCCTTCCTGTGGTTCTGTGAAAAGATCAGAACAATTTCAACCCAGAAAAAACAAACAATCCAAGCAAGTTGGAGCTGCTATTCAGCAGCTATTTTAGGCATACACGAAATATGAACAGCTTAACTGTATGGCTTCAGCCCCAGGGATTTGATAAGGATATAATCCCCTTTTTCACTACACAAAAACATTAGATAACAATTCAAGTTCACAAGTGACAAACATAATCAAGGGATTTTGCAGATTACAGCAATAGGATTAAAGAAACTTTTGATTCCATTTCAGGTTCTCTGAAGTCAATTAGAAATGACTTATAAACCAACGCAAATGGCAATAAATTCACATCAGAAAACACAAAATATGGGAGCAGGAGATCACACCATGAAGAGGCTTGCTATAAAATAAGTATAACAAAACACAAAAGGCAAACATGCTAAAAATGATATGCAGGACATCCAAGCAACAACTAGTAGAAGCCAACCTAAACTATTGCAAAATTAATGTACTAATTTGAATTAAAAAAAAAATAGAAAAATCACCAACCTTCCATCCATCCTTTTGGCGCATGGAATACTCCAACATGATAATCAGAAAATTGTGTATTAGGTCCTCTATATCTGCAGCGCTTACTTGACTAGATGATTTCCTGACATCCTTCTGTAAGAATAAATAATGGTCAGAACACTTTAAAATAGCTTCAGGTTTATTTCTACATGCACTTATGCTAATTAAGCATTTCTATCATCAATATCTTTTCTTAGAAGAAAAAAAGAAAAGAAAAAGAGACATACCCAATATGCAGGATGAGTAGCAGTTAAACTAACTTGTCGTCCATATAGTTTAAAAATATAAGACATTTAAGTTAGGAACATGAAAATATCGGCTAAAGAAAGTGAAGAAATATAGGGAGAAATAGATTGAACAAAATAGGTTAGACAGGAATTAACAACAAAATTCTTAATTCATTGTCGTTTTCTCTTTGTAAGTAGCTACTAGCCTCTACAGATGCATCAATTACAATTAATTGAAATTTTTTTCTAAAATAATCTTTTTCTGCTCATTCTATCATACTTGATGAAAACAAGAGTTCAAGTTTTAGTGAAATATCAAAATAGAAAAGACTTGAATATGCTTTTCAAAAGGTTGAGGCTTTTGATAATTCCCATAAAAAAATTGAAAATTTACAAAAATGTAGGTTCCATAAGATTATTAAACCGATGAGACAAAAGAAACCATCAAAAAAAACATTTTAAATGCAATCACTATGGACAGAAACAATTTTAATAGCAGCAAGAATCGAAACAACTTCAATATTAGCCAATATTTCTTAAGCTACAACTAGTTGTTCAAAACAAATTTTGACTTTTTTATCTTATGACATGTTAATTCTACTTTTAAGCTTAGTCTTAACTCTTGCCAGAACATCCCATGCTTTCATAACTCCTAAGTATAAGGCTATTCCACATTAATATTTAATTGACAACTATTATCCCATATACAATTATCATTGAGAGAACTTTTAGCATCAGAGTGTTTTCAACACATTGATATTGGATATAAAGTACTTGTGGATGTACTTATACTCTCAGTTTATTCGTAGGGACCAAAAACTTGGTACTACACGTCATATGTGATGGGATAGATTATGAGATGAGTTATAATGAAAAATTTATTAGATTTCATGTCCAGTTAATTTGATTCGTTCTGGAAGTGACTGTAATGTGGAAATCTGACCAATCTAACATCAAATGGGTTGAACACGCTGGAAAATCGTTAGGAAACTGTCCGAAGGGAGGTGAAACCATCAAAAATAGAGAAGATAATTCTTTTTCTATAGAAAAAGAAAATACAGCAGATAATATAGATGCCTACTTGCCGTCAAGGCACGTGAAAGAGACACATGTCTCTAATCAAAAGTGAGAGCAGGCATTCTCACAGAAGGCTCATCTAGTGATGCAAGTTCAGGATCATTTGCCACTGTTTTCTATGGTGGCTGGAAGGGTGGAGATCTAGCAAGGTAATGGTGGTTTTCTCCCCTAACGACGAGTGAAATAATTTCTGGCAGAATAAATGGCTAAATTTTGGTAGAAACATCAGTCAGTGGCATCTGGTTCTAATGGCAGGGCAAGTGTAAGCCACTTCCTAGCAGCTCTCGACAATTTAAGATATGAGTAGGATGTATACCTTTTCTTTTACTTATTGTTTTTTGACGTAGAAACTTTTTTTCACTGGATGCAAATTTGGGATTCTTTTTATTATTTCTTATGCAACCACAAAAGTTGCAGAAGGTAGGAATAAAAATTGAGCTTAGATACCGAGACAGGATGAGTAGCGATTAAACTATAGGAATAAAAATTGAGCTTAGATACCAACTGAGACAGGATGAGTAGCGATTAAACTATCTTATCTCGCTTAATAGTTTAGAAAAAGTGAACACTGAGGTAAGAAAAACAGAAGAATAACAATATATCAGAGAAAATTAGAAATATAGATGAAAAAATATAGAGATACTTATATTAAATTGAATAAGTTAGAGAACAATAATAAAAAAGAATAAACACAGACAGAAATAATAGAAAATAAAAGCCTAACAAAGAAATTCTTAATTTGTCATTGTTGTTTCTCTTGTTGGTAGCTGATATTTTTATATAAGCATTAATTATAGCTAATATGAAAATTATAAAAGAGAAACTCGAAAAGATTTTAATTCCTATAGTCCTTACGATTTATATAAATAAGAAACTAAAATATTATAATACCTCAATAAACCTAAATAACTTAAAAATATTAAAATAATGATAATAATTACAAAAAAAATCTTTAATTGAAAATTTCCTCTAAAAAAATATCTTGTTCTGATTTCCACACAAATGAAGGAAAAAGTAACACGTAAGTTCAATCATTTACCTCATAGTTAGAGATAAGGATCTCCAAGATCCACTCAGGCCACTCCTCCATATTTGTCAGACTGCTTCTGTTTTCTGGATGGCTGCAAGCCAAAAACAGAAGATCCTGAAATTATAGAAAGAAACAACTCAGAACTAAAGAAAAATACCAATCAGAAAAACTGAAGAGTGAAAATAGATGAAAAAGATGCTAAGAATCCAAATTACTAGATGTAACTATTACACATGGAAAAAAACAAGCAAGCTAGAATCAATTTTCAGAATCACTCTGACTGGGTATAATATTTTATATCCACCAAAGGGTCCACTTCCAATCAATCCTGTAAAATAGGCAATAGGACCTCTCAGGACTCTTTTAGTATTAGGCAATGTAGGTTTACAATTTAGGCCTTATCGGAACTGTTTCTGGAACAGTCCTGTTTATTGATAGCACACAACCTACAAGCAATAGGCACCACTATGAAATACACATGAAACTAAATATGCAAATACTTAGCTCAGGAGAGTAGTAAACTACTCTATATTTAGAGCAAGACAGCATATCTGAATTGCATTCAACAGATTTTTAAAGACCTAAAAGAAACATCCCCTCAATAAATACATACATACAAGCACACAGCACAGGAGCTTCTACCAAAATTCTCAGAGCTGCAGACGTGGAAACTTTTTGTACACAACATACCTGAAGTGCTCGGCTTTGTAAAGCCTTAGAAGCATATGGCAGCGAGCGCAATAGGACTAACAAAAGTTGAGAATGTTCAAAACGATGACCAGAATCATAAAAATTTAGTCCATCCTCAGTTGAAGAAGCATTTATCTGAAACAAAATAATAGGGGTGCATTCAATTTGGTGACCATCAAAAGAATATCCGGCATGAGAGCAAGGAACTCCACTCTCTAAAAGGGAGCTTCACAAATCAAAAATAACTACATTAGAACTTTCTTTTGGAAAAGAAAATCAAAAAATGTCCTAACTAGAGGAGAACATCAAGGACCTTCAAGAGAAGAACATCAAGGTTGAATGAATTAAATCTACCCACTAGAATAAGCACTTAGAACAACCTTCTCCTTTTACCCAAAATACTTAAGAGAAGCATGTGCATTAGCAATGCTGACAAGTTTTTCAACAAGTCCAAAAACCAAGAGGAAGAAAGGTCAGAGGTAAAACAATTAAATAGATGGATACTGGTGATGCACAAACTTTAGAAGATATCTCCACCAAAAGATTAACGATATTGAAATGCATTGCCAATTTTAATACTCCAGAAGAAGGAATACGTGCAAACATAAGAAATAAGTACGCACAGAAACGAGATAAACCCGGATACGCATAAAAACATACGTACATACATACATAAATCATATATTCATAAAAATATTAATTTATATGAATAAATAGATAGATATTGTAGAGATATAAATTTAACCATAATAAATACAAAGTCTAAACAATCATATCCCATATATCATCTCAATACGGTATATAGTAGTTAAAACACAGGGAAAAGTTTTTAAATTTTGGCAATGATGATATTAATATTTATTGACAGACTCAGAAAAAGACGGAATGCAACAAAAAAGACTGTGCCATACCGAGGCCCCTAATAAAGCCGTATATACATTGTTAGTCATCAACCTATTTGGAGCCGCTTGGAAAGCCTTCTGCAAAGCAAAAAGTAGAAGGGAAACTTTATCATCAAACATGGTGCCCCCACCATCATGCAGTCCACTGGCCAAAAAGTTGTTTGACATATCCAATGGTGTGCGGGAACCAAATTTTAGGTGCCCATATGATATTAAAGCACCCAACAGTCCAATTATCCTAACAACAACACCATCACTTTCATCAACATTGTAAACATTATTTCTTGCATTATCAGCACTAATTGAAAGACTTATTCCACCCAAGTTCTTGACAAAAGGATTTTCAGAAACTGATGACATTCTCTCCATGTTCATGCCAGGGAAAGTGGCAACAGGGATGCTACCAGTATTAAGGGGTGGATATTCATCCTCTTTGCCCTGCGGGCCTGAATCTCTTTCCTTCAAGGATCCTACTTCATCATCCTGACCATTTTCAGGAATGCTACTACAACTATCGACTGAAGTTTCATTGGTTGAAAAGCTCTTGTCACCCTCATCCATAGAATCTGTAACACCACAATCTTCAAGCTTTAACTTCCCGTTGCAGCAGAACAAGAAAGTGACTCTTTCCCACCACATTGCTATGAATATACTCCGCAAAAAGTTTGAA